TAGCATTGCGCTTGTAATCTTTGATATATTCGATTGTTAATTTAATGAAAAATACAAAATATTATTTCAATTTGCGTTAGTTACATTTCTCTTAGAGAGAATTTAATGAACAAGACGGTTGATAATTTACTTAAAATTAAATTGCATCGTAGACCGAAATTAAATCTGGCCGACATACACGCTCCACTTGTAGAAAGGGCGCCGGTGCTTACTTCGCCGGTATTTATTTAGAAAAACTGGTCGGCAGCCTTGTTTGGGAGCCTACCTAATATTTGCATGTTGCACGTGCTCTTCGCGTCTCGAGGGGCTGGCCAAGGATCGCAAAGTGGTTTCCACTTGTGGCGGCTTCAGGAACACTCGTCCCTTTTACGTCTCTCGAGGGACTTTATCCTGTCGTCCGCTTGCCTAGGAAACTGCAACACGCCGTCGCATGATTTTGTCAATTATTTATTTGTAAATTTTGTATCTATAAGAAACAATTTTTACAATAGGAATAATTATATTAATAATTTTTAATTTTTTTTTTGAAACAATATTCGAAAAGTACATGAAGAAAACGTGTGTATTGCAATTTATTCTTGATAAAATAACAGCTAAATCAATTTACATAGAATTAAACGTTAAAATTTTCGTTGAAAGCAAACTAGAATATTCAAGCTTTATTTTTTTTTAATTTTTAGTTTTTAAAATTTTATATATTTGTACATGTGGGATTTTTTATCTTCGGAGATTTATGTTTTCAAGAGATTTTTATACATCTGACGTATTTTTTTTATCTTTATGAGACCAAGATTTGTTTTATCGTGTGGAGAAGGATTATTTCGAAGCGACACATCGTTTTTCAAACTATGAAGAGGAGATCTTGTCCCGAGCAGATTTATCTGTTCCGTTTAAATACGATATTGTTCGAGATTGAAAAATGCTCGGCGTGGAATTTATGGAAACATCGACGTGCGTTCTGTGTGCCGCGGGATACGCTCGAACGGATTTGAAACAAGAGCAAGAGCAACTTCCTGCTGTAGATATCGGTTGATAAATCTACGTGGAAGTGCGGATGACTGTGCATACAAAACGTCAGCTGTTGGTCTCGCGGCACGGGTAGAGCTCAGTCGGTGCGTTTAAAAGCGAGGTAGCACATGCGAGAAAAATAAACATCGAAAGGATCGAACGTTATTTTATGGTAATTTAATTAGATTTGCATGTCGTCTGAAAAATTTACACGATTAATCACGAGCGCCGTCCTTAGAGAAATTATTGCAGTTAAACGATCTGTTAAATCTGTAGGGTTTTCGAAAGAGCGTTTAAAAATATGTTTTATCTATCGCAGTGCTTTTTTTCTTATCGCTGCGAGATTGGAATTCCTTTTTTTGTTATTCTTTCGACGCGTTGCTTACGTGATACGGCTGCAGCGAATTTCTTAGTACGCAGCTTCGCACATCTGCTGCTCGTGGGGTCATATCGGGGTCTCTAATCTGTTCATTAGTCCTAATATACCGAGCAGCCCTCCATCAAATATTACTCGCCGTGTCATTCAGCCTCGGTTTTACGACCTCGAGAACGGACCGTTCGTTTCACGATCGGCTGTTGCAACTATTTTTGTCGGGCGATGGTTATTTCTCAACGTTCGGGCCGCGATAAATATCTGCTGTTTATTAAGCAAACTTCGAGTTTATCTACTATGTATCTGATATATGTTTACGTTGAGTATATATATATATATATATATATACAGGAGTTGATTAAAATCCGAATAATTATATATTTGCATTTAAATTCCTTTGCTTTTCGTGTTCTTATCGATGACAGAAGCACAATATTTTTGACATTAAAGATTGCGGTACATTAAAAGAATTTCCAAGTTCAGAGGTAGGTAGTAATTAAATGGAATGATCCGGAATAATTTCTCTCCGCTCGACGACGATAACAGGTCGAGGAAGGCCAATCAAATCGTGGAACATATCTACGGGCCCGCTGCCAATCGTCCGTACATAATTGGATATAGAAACGTGCGGCCTTTGCTCGCATACGCTATTCCCTCGGCGACGTGTGCCCCCCTGTCTCGGGTTAGGAATGTAATTAGTCAGAGGGGCACCGGTACAATCTTGGTCGTCGATCGGTAAGTTCCTTCGTTGCCAGCGATGCCCACGCGATGCTTCCGAGATTGCCGCGTCCGAGATCAAGTGATTATCAGTCGTAAATACGCGCGCGATAATTAAAATTATTGGCTGATTGCCTCGTCGAATTGCGCTTACGCGTTTAGGCGTTTCAGCCGATTCAGCAAGCGTCGACCGTCCGGAAAACCATCGGCGTTGCATTTTGTCAATTTTAATTATTATGTAGCCATAAATTAATAGAATTAGTTATTGGCTATCTGTTGAGAAAAAATCGCGAGTCGACGCGCGGTAGTCGGGAAAAAAAAAAAAGTTCGAGGAATGGCGTCTGCATGGATGGAACGTGCGATTCACAGCGGGAGCCGCAGACGGGATTGCGTTGAACATCGTCGGTACCGATCCCCGGCATCGTCCCGTACTTGGCGCACGCTTTCTCGTAACAATAAGAACAGGTCCACGGGCGACCTCAGAATTCTCGCGTTTCCCGGGTCGCACCGGTGATTCTTCTCGTGACTCCGCACGCTCGCAACACGATGTTGTGTTATTCAAATGGACCCGAAAGAGAGAAATAAAGAATAGCTTCCTCCTTGTAAAAGCGCTCCGATACTATCTTGAGCTACCGCTATCGCGCATGTATATCTAATGCACCGGTGAGGTCTCGTCTGCTCCTCTCCTCTATTTTTGGTATCTGTCGCTCGATACCTTCATAAAACGAGTGATACTACACCTGGAGACGAGGAGAGAGAGAGAGAGGAGATAATTCTGAACACGAGAGGTGATTTTCTGCAATATTTTGCGAGGAAAATGCGAGAAAAATGCGAGTATTTATTAGTTGGCAAATATTTTGTCGCAAAAAAGTGAAGAATATTTACTTGAAATTAACTTCAAAAATATTCGATCAAAAAGTTTCTTGTGATTAATTATAATAGGAAAACTAAAAATTAAATATTTTACTATAAAAAAATTAACACTTGATTGATCAAAGAACCTGTCGTTGGATGTAGTCGGCGATTGCAGAACACGTGCCCTTAGAGAATACATTTTCGATTGGAATTGCGGAAAAGAGCAATATAGTGTCAGAACGAACGAGACTTGCGAATCGCAGGAAGGTGCGGCAAGACACGATGTATACTATCGGTGCAATTTCTACGTCTCATTGCGTTCGGTAGGTTTTTACCGGTCATTTTGCAGCGTAGCGAAATTATAGATCTTCAAACAGAGTGTACAGAGGGAGAACGATTATACCGCGCGCGCGCGCTTTCTCGTATTGGGCGTAGATAGGAGTTATGTACACACATAACGGTAACCCCGCGCCGATCGCCTTGTCAGCTGACCTTACGGATATATCATAAGATGTACCACGTACGTGCGCTCGTGCAATATAACCTCGCGATGGTCTCTCTGCTGCCATCCGCGCTCTACCACGCCCAGTCGGCGGAAAGGAACATGCCGCCGTGCTATGTCATTGTGCTGGCGATATCGAGATAACATCGATGACTGTAGATTAACATCGCAAAACTCTAAGTCCGCAGCCACTTCGACTTGGTCTTTTTCACGCTCAAGGCATGGTATACATTTCGAGTTCTTTAATTTTATTTTTAGTTAGAATAAATTTATTGGAGTTTATCAAAGAAAGTGATATAACATGGGCAAAAATTTCGAGTGCGTTGTCTTTCATTTTGTTGAATAAAAATAATAGATTCTTTAATCGATTTGACGTCGATTTTTTCATAAAATTGGAAATATCGAAAACTGACCACCTATAATGTGAAACCTTGGTTGTACAAAAAGCGTGACGGAGTTGGTGTTATGTTATATTACGTCTTATCAGCATCCGATGTCGATCTTCTCTTTCATGTGTTTAATTATGTCAATTAACCGCATGACTAATTCGCAAGATCTAGATTCGATAACTCACGCTCTCCTTGAAATTGTTTCTTTATGCAGAGTTAACATAAACTCTCGACGCTTCGCGATCCTTGAGGAAGACAAGCAAAAACTTGTGACAGTTTTATCAGCGAGCGCATTGCATACGCACGTGTGCAAGCCGTCCAGTCTGTTGGCTCGGCTCGTGTACCACGCCTTCGCGAAGGAAACGGCGCACGGCGCACTATTCTACGGTTCTATATACCGGTATTGAGATAGTATCGGTCGGCATGGATCGCGCGCTCGGGCCGCCTAGGAGTCCGGCTTTAATAGCCTGCAGCCACGGCGATCGGCCAGAAATCGCTAGTATCTCAACTCGTTGTGTTTTTCGCACTCACGTGCGCGCGTGACTCACACATACATTTATTCAGCATACAAGCAGAACGTTTCCTGGAGCAAAGTTTCCAGGTCACCGGTAAAAAGACCAATTGGAAACGGATACCTTTCTTGACGGCTTTTTTTATTGTCGTTTATTTCACCGCGCTCAGCGATTGACAGATCTTGATATCTCGTTATTTATTCGTTCGAATATTCATTAAGATTATACGGGTGTTAAGATTATATAGGCACTCTAGGTTAGAAATATATAATGTTATTTTGCTGCTCGGTTGACGAAACTGTGGTCAATTCCGTGAACGCCTCGAAGCGAAAGTCGAGAATCGTGTCTTGTTGTACGATATAGATTCGGCGAAATTACGTAGACTTCGTTGTAATTTGTTCTCCTGAAGTAGCATGACACCCAACTATACATCAAGATGTAATCTATCCCGAACCTTAATCCTCATCAAGCGAGTCATTCATTCTTAATCGGTTAATAACGCGATCGCTATATTCTGACGATCGATCATACAATCCAATCTCGAATCGAGATATCGTATAATTATGACGATAGTTTCTCCTGCATTTTTTAAACCGATTTCTCTGTTCAAATTTCTTACGAAATCGTTTTCTTATCTGTTGTAGCAAAAGGTGAAGTTTTGGTTCGCTACTGGCGGTGCTGGATTTTGCATCAGTCGATCATTGGCATTAAAGATGACGCCGGTTGCTGGGTGAGTACCTTTTCTGTTTTCGTTTATAATTGAAGCGTTCTTTAGGGCATAATTGTTATTTCAAAATTGAATTATTTTAAAAAAGAGAAAACATTTTTATCTAAAACGGCATGAAAAAACTAAATGGAATGACAAATATCAAGTTATCGTATTATTTAAAATCTTGGAATGAGGACAATTTTGATTTGATATTAATATTTTCATCATATTTATTTTTATTTTGTTGGCGATCTTAATTTTTATATATTTAATTATTATAATAATGTTCCAAACAACGCTTCAATGTATTATCTTAAAAAATAAATTGTTATTCATTTTATATTGTCAACTACTGCATTGAAAAATGAAGCAAAAGTGATATCAGTATTGAGATTTCATCGAAATTATTATTTAATTTTTTTTAATATTTATGTGTACATAATTTTGATTATCTGATTATTTTATTTTGTCGGATATTATATTTGTCGAATATTATTTTAAAATTGATCGCTGTAAGATGATTGATTATGGCTTTATCGGTATAACTTAGGTTCTCCTCTTTCTCGAATCTCTTTGCCGGCAGGTGCCTCTCATTACAGAATAGAAATCTCCATAGAACGCGGTTGGTCACGCATGACACGTATGATTCGCATTACCACCACACAACGTGGTAGTTCTTTCAGGGCTTAATCTAACGTGAAAATGCGTATTAGCGATCGTATTTCCCCCCGGAATATCTTTTCATTTCTTTTTTCCTACGCTATTGATCCATCCATTTCTACCTGAGGAGAATTAAGTAACGTCGACAGTTTTACGCCTAGTCACGCTCCGATTCGTGCTATCTATTAAAAACTTCGATTCCAACATTAACGACTAATAATTTTTTATTATATATAATTATATATAAAAATTATATATAAAAATTTCTTTTTTTTTCTTCATAAAAATTGTTACACAGCTGTTGTGTGCCAATCGCTGAAGCGTGGAATCGCAATGATAATAAAAAGATTGATGATCGAGAGAGAATCATAACGATAGACAATTACGATGCCATTATCGATGTCACTCTCGATAAACGCGTCTCGATAGGCAGTTAGCACGTATGACGTTTATATACCTCGTCGTGCGTAATCATTGGGATGATCGGCGATGGAAGGTCGAAAGCGTTCGCGCACTCGTGCTGCTCGTAAATCACCGTTTATGGCGCGCAGTGGCCAATTGTTTATCCTTGGTCCTCGATAACGTCACCGTCAGCCGAACGAGCCCATCGACCCATTTGTTGTTATTAACGATGTAAAAGCGAGTGCCGTCGGACCGTTCGATCCAGTTTTTTTACAATCGCATTTCGCGTCCGTCGTCGTAAATCTGGAACTTGAATTCCGCGGTCTCTCATAAAACCTCTTCATTCGATCGGCTATTTGATCGGTTTATACGTGTTGTTCCAGAACTCGCAATTGTTCTCTTCCTCTTGCCTATCCTCATCCTCGGTCTCCTTATACGGATTCGGAAGCAGAACGAACGCGAGGGGATGGACGCGAATGAGTCCGGCAAAAAAAGCCCAGGCATCTGGGAGGGCTTGCGAATCAGTCCTACCTCCTTCTCCTTCTCCTCCTCCTCCTCCGCGTTTCTTTTCCACTCTAGCTCCGTCACGCTCTTCCGTCCATTCTACGATGTACACGGTCCCGGCATTATCCTGCCTCTCGTACACTCGTTCGTTTCGTGTAGCGACACGAAAGGCGGGAGCGGGGAAAGAAAACGAGGCAAGTGCATCAAACGGCTTTCTCATTCAGAGCCGGTGGACATGACACCGGCTCTCGTCGACATCGTTTTATTTCGCCGTATGTAATCCGGCGGCATTATACTTTATCCGTTTCCGCGTATCCGGTGCGATTAAACGGTAATTTGTGATTTACATTTATCTCAGTGATTTGTACATTTTCGTCGCTACTGAGAATTAATAATGATATCTAATGTTTTCTTCCGCGTTAAACGTCCGCGACAATCGCGAGGAGGGATAAAACTTTGTCGTTACCAGTCGCGGGATTTTCATGCATTTTTCCGCGCTTAGCTTGCGCGTGAGACGCCCCGGCGTCGCTCGCATTCTGTCTCGCGCGTCGCGAAAGATAAACTTGGGTGAATTTACCGGCCATTTCGAAGAACTACCTTCATCTCTTGAGCCGCGCTTTATGTTACTTTTATATTATTTCGGACGCCGTCAGAGTGATTCTGAGGCGACGGTGAGTGCGGCCGGTAATTCCACTTGTCTCTCTCATCCCGGAGCGAGCGCGATTACGTTCGCGCGCTTTAATTTATTCCGCTCAAGATTCGCTGTGCTTTTTCGCGCTTAAGAAAGTAACAGATATCACGCCGTCACTTTTCACTTTGCGCGAGAGAAAACATTTCTTATCCGAGTAGTTGAGGAGAGAAACGCTTTCAGCTTTTTTCCGCGTGCTTTTCTTTCAGCCGACGGCTATTTACGATTTTATTTCATTGCAGACAAGCCAGAAAAGAAAGAATACCGTGACCGCTCTTAGTCTTTATTCTTCTTTACCATTTAGCTAAGAATGCATGATATAATTGTCTTCGCGTTTTCACGTTTTTCACTTTTATCAAGTTGGATTTCTCGGTTTTTTTTATTTTTTTAACAAACCCCTTTTCAAATGAATGCAATATTAAATTGATTTGTGTTCTTACGGTGAGAGAAATTCTTTTATTTTCACATTTGCTTTCAATGTTTTCTGTTAATACATCATAAATGAGTGAAATTACTAAATTTAATCTACCTGTAGAAATGACTACCTATTTTATGAATTAATGGACTGTGACGGGAAGATGTTACAGTTTTTGCGAGAGTCTGATCTTTTAATCATCTGGCTTATTTTTATTTGGTCTCCACTTATTCTACGAATCGTTAGATGCTTTTAAAGATTGAGTTATCTATGTGCATTCAGATGCACTGTTTCTTATGCGACCAATTATCGTGGTCAACCGAGCGGACTGCCCTTCAGTTTCAACGAGTTCTCACGTTCCTTATAACATCTACCTGAAGTTCTAGTAGACGTTCCGCTCATTGCTTCTGAATTGTCATACTCTCATATCCGCTCTGTTAGCTTCACCACTCTATCATTCTTTTGCATTACACAGTCGATACCATAAGTAAACACACTTAGCGATTAGGGCCGACAAAGCAGTATCGTAGCTTATAATTTCTGAAACGACGACAAATAATCTACAAGCGTATATCTTTTTCATTTTGACAAACAAAAAGATTTGCGAAAATACTTGTGCAAAATTTAATTAATTTCTTTATTAGCATTTTTTTAAAGTTCTACAAAAATAAAATCGAATAGCAATTTAGTTGCGTTACAATTTTATATTATTATAGAATTAAATTATTATATAGAACTGTTAATTATATACATAGAAACTGTTAATTTTTTTTTTATTGACATTTCCGTTTAACTTATGCAAAATGACTCTTTAAGCAACTTCACTGTGACAGAAGTAAAATTGCAACCGAAAAGAACTCAATACAGCTGCATTAAAAGTTAACTAACGTTTAACCTTTAATTTAACTTCTAACTTGATTTAACTTCCATCAGCAGCTAACAACTGGTCGCGAGCTACTTTCTCGGTCGTGAAGTCAAGAGTTGCGCTACTTTCTTCTCGCGAATTTTCATTGCAATACAACGTGAACCAGGTATTGAAACCGGAATAATTGCTGCGAGATCATTTTTTTTATGTCAGCAATATCGGAAAACATATCTTACATCGATTGAATTCCTATTATTAGAAATTATTTGTGCGTATTTGCAGCATCGAAATTCAATCTCGTCGAAATTATATCGATTTTAATCTCCGCCGGGAGAAATGCAACGCGTAGCAGTTTCGCTGTTGTGTTAGCCATTAATCGAGCAGCAAACGGGGATAATGGTCAACTATCTCATGGCTGCCGCGAAGATGGATCTTAATTAACGGCGAACGCAAGAAGCCGCTGTTCGTTGCAATGTGACTAGTGAGACGAGCAGGCTGATTGCCACCCACGTGTAGATGCAGGGAAGTACAGCAGGAAGGCATGCGTGTAGCGTGTTGCGTACGCCCGCTTATGCGTATATACCTATATTTATATCATTTCCTTGTTAGCGCGGAGTGTACACGCGGAAAGAGGAGGAAGAGGGCAATAAATAAGAGAGATTAGAGCACGAGGAGACGTTGCGCGCGATGTTGCTACGACTGTTCAATAGTTACGTGCTCAATATATTTTGTAGACGGTGTCCGAGAATCACCGAATGTTATTTCCACACATTTCAGAGAAAGCAATTTAGGAAAAAGAATTTGTAATCCTTATTTAATATTAAAATTCAAGAATGTTGCCCAACTTAAGTTGTCAGCGTGTAGATAACAACAGTTTAATCTTCATTTAATTTTAGCTTCTACAGAGATTTAATTTAATTTCAAAAAACATTTCAGTTCTATAATATTTAATGATAAAGATTAAAGGCTCGGAATTAATGATTGCGTTGTACAAAATATTTGATGGGAATTTGATATCAAATTTGTAGGACAATGATTTTAGGATACACCCTGTATATAGATTCCTGCTCGTACCACCTCGTCGTATTATTTGTTACTGCTCATCTAGTACGTTCTCGTGTGTACATTTTATCGCTCCACTGGAATAATATGAGTGAGAGCAGAAACCGCTAAAAGCTATTTACGTCCTACATTCTTAAATTTATGATTCTAACGTGTACCGATCGGTTATAATGTTATCGCACGGGGGAAAAATGTACAGACGAGAAATGAAATAAAGATCGGAACGGAGTGCATGTCAACATTCTGTATCAGTATTGAAAAACCGGAATAACATCGACAAATCGAGATTTGATGCTCCACAGATACGCATAAATAATTATGATTTCGACGTCCGGTTATCGACCCGTAGTTTCCAAATATTGCAACATCGTGTTTTCTCTTCTTATTGACTTCGTCGCTTTACACTTCTTCTTTTCGTTGTCAGT